AGCCAGCTCTGCTGGCTGGAGAATTCTGGGAGTTGAAGTCCACAAGTCTTAAAGTTGCCAAGTTTGGGAACCACTGCTCTAGAGGCTTTCCTGAAGGAAGTTTGGGAATGAACTTCCGGTTTGCTCCGTTTTTCACCCTCCCAAGGCTTCAGGAAAGCCTCCGGAGAGGGCAAAAAATGGCCCAACTGGAAGTTCGGGAACAAACTTCCAGTTGGCCCGTTGGGCCTGTTTTTCACCCTCCCCAGGCTCCAGAGGCTTTCCTGAAGCCTGGGGAGGGAGAAAATGGCCTCCCCCGGCCTTCCGGAAGGCTGAAAATTAGCTGGATGGCGCAAACATTGCACACCGGAGCTGAAGTCTGCTGTGCCAGCAAATATGGCTCCATGTGCCACCTGTGGCACACGTGTCGTAGATTCACCATCACGGCTCCAGAAGCTGAAACTGGGAGCTTTAATAAATAAGGTTTTGTGTCATATTGTATCTGATCTCAAAATACATTCCATACATAACTGATTTCATGTTAGGGGAGGCCTACCTTCTTAATTGCATCATTCCTTCCATCTGACGGCAAAGCACAGGAGGGAAAATATTTCAGTCTATTACATTTACATGAACACGCTTGATGACCATGGGCCCACAGTTGTTATTTTCATTTAAAAATAAACACTTGCAATTTCTGTCTGTCTTGCAAGCATTCACTTGGAACAAGGACACGTTAAAGTATTCCAAACAAATGCCTTAATTACTTGAAGTCAGCTGATCCAATCAATGTGGTTGTTTCTCAACCTTTTTTCTAATTAGCAAATTGTTGTGACTCAGCAGATGTCTGCTGTAAGTTTTTTTTCGGGATCAAGATTCATTATGCAGCTGGGGCTTGTTAGAGGCAAGTTTGGAGATAAAAGGACGGATGCTGCCACGCCCTAGTCGCTGGAGTCAACGTTCCTTCGTGTGTTATTTGTTTGGTGCAACATTGCTTGATTATTAATCGTGATTTATGCCTGTTACACTTGGATAAGTGCTTTGGTGTTTCGTGTAAACCTGATCCGTGGAGACTGTGCAAGAAGTGCAGTGCTTGTAAGAGTTTTTGTTTTGTATTCTTGTTGGAGACTTGTATTTATGTTATTTTTGGGCTCAAAGCAAGGTTTGAACTGAGAACTGATAAAAGAAAGACTTCCTTTTAAGTTGCCTGCCTGCGTTTGTTAACGAGCCGTGAAGGGGGGGACAGAACAGCAAATATTTCATTATGCTTAATAAATACTTTTAAATTTCCAACCTTAGTAACTTCCAGCTCTTTGGTGTTCAGCTCACTGGATTTCCCAAGCAGTGCAGCCATTGCTGAAAATTCTGAGCTGAGGTCTATACATCTGGTAGTTGATAAAACACTGCTTTAAATATACGGCTGTTATATGGCCGCAACACGGCCTTGATGATATACAATGTTGTTTGTTTACATTTGGCGTGTCATCTTGTGTGAACCCCACCCTTATAGCTTTCTGTTATCTGTTTAGCCGGCTGATCATTCTGTCTGGCAAAGCCTCTGCACGGAGTGGGAGAAAGAGATGTCTGCAGAATATCGTACCTAACTGACCAATAGACACACTTTCTCTGGTCACTCGTGGGCGGCTCAACAGTTTGGAGTTGGCCTCTAAGCTTTCATCACTTTCCTCGGGTTCATTAAGAGGCGTGGATGAATAGTAGTCTTCTTGGGGTGCTTGAGGTTGCTGGGGAGGCAGTAGTAAAAAGGCAGAAGACTTCCCACATAGGAGTAACTGTAGCCCCTCTAGCTCTTGATAGACCTGCAGGAGAGGAAGAATAGTTACGTATCATTGCTTCTTAGGAACAACCATCTAGCAAATAAAACAACTCACTCGTTCTTCCATTTCCAAGGCCGTATAAGCCAGCTCCTTTGAACAGGAAGCTCCATTCCCTCCCAAGCTCACTTAATGCCTGATAGGCAGCCTTACGATATGCCTGAAATACTGCAAACAATGTAGTGAATATTCTAAGCCGAGATTCCTTCCGTTATATTTATAGTAAATAGGGCACAACTAGCCATCAACAGGCACTGCAGTGCCACTAGGAAGCAGCAGAAAGTACGAGTGACTCAATATAACTCGGCATTTATCCATTGTCGCTTCCCCATTTGCCATCATTAACTTCTGCAATGCGCTCTACATGGGGCAGCCTTTGAAGAGTATTCGGAGACTACAACTTGTCCAGAATGCAGCCACGCGAGCGATTGTGGGTTCACCTCGGTACACCCACCTTACACCTATCCTCCGTGAG